ATTCATTTAGTAGAAATACATCTTGTTTTCTTTTCTTCAGAATAAACACGATAAATAATATTTAGTAATCGGTACTGAAATCGTTTTTTTTTATACAAGAAAAAATTTCATTTATTATTACTAATGAGAGTCTGAGTAATTTTTCGTCTTGATAAGAAAAAAAAAAGGTTTGCTCTTATTCTTTTCTTCTCCTCTAGAAAAAACAAATAGTGTCAGCGATTATTTCATAAAAATAACCTATTACAGCATACTTACACATCAATATTTTCCAACATATACGTTATGTCCGTCGGAAGCATGATAATTTGGCGAATACGAATCTCGTTAAACTTGCTGCAATGATTGCTAAGAAGAGTAATGCCTTACAACGGCAACTTCAATTTTCCACGTCGGGTCCGTCATCATCACCTGTACCAATCTCATTCATTCTGACGTTTCATTTTAAGTTTTTATCCTAATTTGTTTTTATTCTAAATGTAGCTATAAAATTTTATAGACAATAAATAATCTAATAAATATATGCCAATTAATCAGTAAGATCACAATGATACGTAACCATCAATCAACATTGTGTCACTATACTTGTTATTGTTGAGTATTTTTTTTCTTTGTTCTGCACTTTCTCCCTTTTTTCCATAAATATATGATATTTGAGTTTCAAATTATATTGTCAACCAACGATGATGTAATTGTAGATTGTTATTGATATATACGAAAAATGCTGGTGATATAAACACTTTTAATTCTGAAATCATTGTATTATGTTATTAGAACACGATTGAGAAAAATATGAATGAACAAAAGTGAGTCTTTTTCTTTTATAACAAATCGTATCTTCTTCCAGTTACTGTTGCTGCAAATGAGCATATTCTATTTCTCTAATTTACAGTCAGCAAAGATTTATTATGTTTCAAAATAAATACTTGAAAAAAGAACATATTCCTACATGTATCACTACTTTACCTGAAGGAGGACTAGGTTTGAAATTAAAGTCTTCTGCTCTTGTAATCAATTGCTGGCATTCAGTGACAGTTAAAAAGTTAGAAATCATAGTGATACATTCTCCATCGATTAATTGTCGTTCAAGACGAAACATGATTAAAGTAGTTCTTCAACAAAATGTATTATTATTCAATAATCATATCACAGCTGATGAAATTATATTTTCTTATTGGTTGTTATGGTATATCACAAATATACAGAACAGAAAAAAATATAATTACACAAGATAGACTTCATTGATCCCATGAAAAAACCTGACAAGATAAATTTTGATTTCTCGCCATCAGAATCGATGCAGAGAAGGGTGTGAGTGTGAGTGACGAGACCATTCACACCCACACCCACACCCACTACAAGCAACACGCATCAAAGAAAAGTATTTCTTCTGTCTGTCTCTGCCAGGATAGTAGCGATCATAAATGCATTAAAAGTATGAAAACTACGTATTGTTGTGGAGTGTCAAGTTCAAAATTAGGTGGGGCTGAGCCTTAATGGCTTCGCCGCCCTTGATTTTATTCATTATTGATGCAAACACGATACATGATTACAACATACAATTGTTAGTCAAAAATAAATAATTGAAATTTAGTTGATGCACAAAATTCGTTTCCATGAAATTGCTTTTTTTGCTTCACTTCGAAAGGTTTTCGATACGATTAAATTTGCATAACAACTAGTGCAGAATGGAATACCAGCACTAAATAGACATATATTTCTAATACAAGTTTCAATCTGTATTCGTTCAGCATTTTTTATATAATTTTGTGTTGTTTGTTGATACATGAGATAGATTACAAATACGAAACTAAATGAAGCATAGATAATGATATCCATAAGTAACATGAACATAAGTTGTTGATCTTTTGATGAATTTGACTGAATACTACCTCCTGTAGTAGTTTTACTTACAGATGTATTAACAATCATTCTAACACGACCCATACTTCGAATATTCTTGATAGACCATAATCCACATATTATCATTAATGAAAGTGACGAAGTTTCTTTGATAAGAGCATAATAACTTACGAAAATAAGATGAACACCTGGTTGAAAATAACAAAGAAAAGTATTAGGAGCAAGTTGTGTAATACTTGAAGCAATTAATGCATGAATATGAAATAATGCCCAAAATAATGTTCCAATAATAATACATAAATACGCAAGACGACGAGTACTTCGTTGTCGTGTTAGAGCATTGGATGAAGTAATCAAAATTCGATCAATAGAAGCCAAAATTATATAAAATGGACTCAAAATATTGAACAAAGTAACTGTGTAAAGACGAAGACGACAGATAATTAGGTTGTATACACTAGCATCAATACTATATCCTACGCTCAGTGTTAAAGCTAATAATGAAGAATAAATATATATAAAATTAGCAACATTATATGCAATAAAATAGATTGAGCATGGATTTTTTCGTAGAATTTTTTGAGTAAAAACAATTAAATTGATAATGCAACTGACCGTACCGATAAACATTAAAATCGGACAACCAAATTGATATAAATATTTTTGTGCTGACTTCATTAGAGCGATTGTATCGCTTGATAAAGGTATTGACGACATTTGAATAATGAATGTTGAATAAGAATAAGATAAGATATTATTTGCTGTATCTGCTATGAAGCAAATCTCACAACTTGTATTTAGTAATTATAAAATTTGAAACAAATGAAAAATAATACACGATTTGCTTTTGACAAGTAACTTATAAGAATATGATATATTCTTATTGGTTTAACAGATTGCTTCTGTTTTTGATAATTTTAAAAATAGACAGAAAAATGTTATTAGTTGAGAAGGTAATTTATATAAAAAATGAAGGTAAAAATAATAGAGTACGAGTTCGAAGATGGTTTTAGTTTAAGAAAAACTGTAGAATATAAAATTTGATATTTGTTGATTATTAAAAACTGATGTTTGATATGTAATTAAACTTACAAAAAACTCAATTTGATATAACAAATAATCTTCATTGTATTACTACATCTTATTGTTTGATTTCTTTTTGTTTTGTAATGTTTTCTATTTATTCTCCTCAATTATATGTAGAATAACTTACCTCTTTTTATCTTATACTATCATATAAAATTGAACAAACAATATATTTTTTCACTTCTCTGATAGAACAACCTATTCACCATACACTCACTCATTTGTCTTTCGTCTACTTTAACTTGTTGTTCTGTCTGTTAAAGAAACTTTATTCATATAAATTGCAATATAAAATTCATCTTTTCACAGAATAATAAGGATGGATGTGGGTGTAGGTGTGGATATCCACTGGAAATACACCCACACTCTTTCTGCCTTGCATTAAAATCTTGTTTTTCTATTTTTTCTCAACAAAAAAAAATTCCCGTCCTGAAAGGGCTAAAAATTATAAAAAAAACACAAGACAACCTCACGAATGAAAATGAAAGCAATAGTAAATTTAACGGAAATTTATGAAGTTTTTTTCATTAAACTTCGTTAATTTATCTTTTAACGCATGTTTTAGCGTTAGTTTCAATGCTCTCTTCTTTACATGCCTATTTTATTTTTTTATATAGGGCAGGAATTCAATTTTGACCGAAAAAAGGAGTCGCGAAAACAATTTGAAACATGTGCATAAGTTAACTCAGTTGTTCATGCTGGTTTCAAATATGACATTTGTTTGAAGTCAAATGGAATTTCTCCCATTCGAAAATCATCGAATATTAGTCACAAAAGACACAGATTTGGTCTTAACCATAGTAATTATAGTAAACATGCTTTACTAGACATCAAATTTCAAGTTAAAAATAATATTATTAGCAGGAGTACATGGAATCATATATTTGATAAAAAGAATCTCGTTAATGCATCAGTGAAAGTTATAATTCTGTAAGATTGAAAAAAACCATAATTAGTCACTATATGATCCAATCGGAGCGGTATTCGGTATTTATCGATAGACAAACATTTGAATATTTAGGACATTCTTATAGATTCTGATAGAGAAAAAAATTCTGCATAAAATGAACGTATTTTTGATGAATCTAATTCGAGTTTTAATCGACTTTTAAGTCAAAAATCTGATTTTTAAAATTTCCAAAGAGTGTTTCGAATCTTTCTTATTATTTTTGTACTTTTGAAGAAAAATATGATATTTGTAATTAGCACACTTAGCGCTATTGAACTATAAAGAATTGTAATAGAGCGATGATTAAAAAATTTTCTCAACGCTTGCGAAGACCCAGATGTAAAAAATTGAGTTGTGAGAAAATACAAAATAAACTAGAGAAAAATAATCAGGATTCAATTTCTTTGATCTTAGAATTCTTTCCATTGCAGTAATACTCATAAAAAAAGATCCTTGAATCATTTATATTATTTGTTGCTTTTTACAGATGAATGATTCACTTATCTTTATTTTCTAAAGGTAAATGATTGATTGATTGATTTATCTTTATTTTCTAAGGTGATACTAAAGGACTACTCCTATGACGAGCGCGGACGAGCAGAAAAAGAACGATATATAAACGATTGCAAGTCGTACATACTTATTTTTCTCAGTATTTTTTCTATGTGCGTATTTAATTTCGAATAATAACTAGTGAAGCAGAGCGCACACGCTTTCATTTGAATACGCACGACTCGTAAACATGAAACTGTTCGTTTTCTTTATATTGCTGGTCTGTATTGTTTCTGGTATTTCGGCTATCATCTGTTATTCTGGAATGTCGAATTCTTCTACCCCTATGATAACAGTGGACACGAACATGATGTCAAACAAATGTGACAATGATACATGCGTGTGCGCAAGCTACAAATTTGTCTGTTCTAGTAATGATCAAGCCTGTACAACACAAGAACAACAAATACAAGCACAAAAATGGGCATGGATTCCAGTGGGAAATACGACGTGTCAGCAGATGTTAATGGTACCCACCACTTATATGAATACAACATGCTGCTATACGAACTACTGTAATAATCAGAACATAAATAAAGCTAGTAGTATCAAATGTAGTTTTTATCTTCATATAATATTTATTGTGTTTGTTTTGCTTATCAAATAAATATTTTAATAAATCGCTAACATTGAAAACATTTCTACTGTGATTCTGAGCAAGAATTAAAATAGCACTAGAACAGAATTACAAATTTCGAATCTAGAACTTACTGTCTGTATATCAAATTATACGAAACTCTGCTTGTTATTATAAAGAGAACAAATATGACTATCGAACGGTTGTTCAACTCTTACACTTGAGATTATTTTCCAGTACAATAACAAGATATTTTATCTTCAATTTCGAAAGTCAAACTTATATTCATAAAATACATATGTTATCTGTAATACACTATTAGAGCCATTAAAAGTCGTTTCTTTCTTGCTTCTATTAGCAGATGCATTGGTCACTAGCGACATCTATATTTAAATCTTGAGCCAAAGAACAAATTTAGAATATATTTATATAATATACTTGAGGGCTGAAAAAAAATCACAATTATTATACGTTCGTTACTAGCTTCAACATATTCTTGTCATGATGTCAAAATTATAGAGAGTAGCACAAATGTTTTCAGTCTAAAACACATGTTTGTAGAAACTTGCCGGTAACTGGAACTATCTCAATCGATTGTAAATTAAATGTAGAATTTTTTGATATTTAAATAATAATACAGGTTCCTTTGCATCGAAATCATAAATTAAGTAGATAATCCGCTACTCAGATCCAATAAAACGGTGTAAAACGTCGATAAACGGCGTCGTAATCCATCATACCACATTACGAAAGCAAAACCGGGAAAAAAAGACGACCGTTTTTGTAGCGATAGAAACGGCTCGTAATACGGTATGATGGTTTACGGCGAAATAAGACCAAAATTAATGCAGTAATTCGCCATTTTATAGCCGTTTCCGATGGCCGGAATGATTCTCCTGGATAATAAAGTGTGAGTCATATAAAGTCTGACAACATAGTACTGTGATAGTTGCTTAGTCTTCTTTAGTTAGAGTGAAAGCTATATAACCCATGTAAAAATTGTTGCTAATTTAACAATTTCACGATTAAATATGTTAAAATTTTGACCTTGAAAATGCGTTAAAAGTATGTAAAATTAACGCGTTTTTTTTTCGTTAAATCAGTAAATTTCTAACGATATTTCATGCAGCAATTTATCCAAAAACAGCATGAAAACACGTTAAATACGTAAGCTGATATATACGTTTATTCTTCAACATTTTTCATACATTGTTATTGACCGTAACTATGATGAACTTCTTTCAATGATCGATATCTTCTTAAATTTCATTCATCTGAAGAGGAATATTCAGCTAAATAGTTCAATATTAGAAGTACTTTTTAATAAGATACTCACGAAAATCTTGTTATCACTACAATTATTTTGTAATGAATAGGAAAACCAATCATGAAATACAATATCTTTTTCTTTTATCGATATCTCAAAATTTAAACTAATTATGGCTCTTCTCACTACAATTTTGAATTCGAATATGTTCTAGAAATACATACCATAGAATGACAGAAATGATAAGATTATACTAGTTTACATTTTGATCGATCATTGAGAGAAGTTTATCATACTTACGGTCAATAACAATGTATGAGAAAAATATTAAACAATAACATATATATATCAGTTTAAATACTTAATTGAAATGAGCAAGTCAGTGTTTTTCATATTAGATGTGAATTCTATGAGCTAAAAAGTCAATTTATCTCACTTCAATAGTGAAATGCTTCGAAAAATCTCAGATCAAACTACATAAATAAATCTTGAGTTTTCAGAAAAAAAAATAGTTCGTTCACTTAAATTTTGTTTTTATGTGGTCAACTATCCAAGTGGGAAATTTAAAGTACTACATGTGTGAAAACGAATGCAATATTTAATGAGTTAGTTGCCATGAAAAAGCCTGAAAAATTTAATGTATTTTTATGAATTTCTGGAATTTAACGGAAGTTCATGAATTTTTCTTTGTGAAACCTCGTTAATTTATCTTTTAACGCTCGATTTGTTGAATATCTTTTCTAGTTTTACATGGAGAAACTGAATTTTACGAGCGGACCACGGGTGATTTTGCTTCATAACAACCCTGTTCTTTTTGTCCACTTTGTTGTTTTTTAAGTTCTAAGATAAGCAAAATGAAGACACAATAAAAGTTTAGTCTCTAGTCTATTCGATAAGTTAATTTTATCCATTACAACTAATCATAAATAATGAATTAAGTAGATAATTAAACAATCAATCGGCAGCTTTCTTTAATAACATGTTGGTATGTATTGATAGAGTTTTCATAGTGATGAATTTTGCCATATCTACTTGTCAATTCTTTTTATGCTTCGATCAGTTGATTGATCGAAACACAAAATTTTCCGATTTATCAAGAAGCTATCAATATCGATATTTTATAGTAGATCATACTTCTCTATTCTATTCTTCATGTTTCTAATTTAAATGAAGGTTTTAAAACCATAAAATTCAATATTTTATTAAATCGATATAGGAACAAAAAAAGAACCATCAAATAAAGATTACTTATACAAGTGACGCATCCGTTGAAATACAGGGTGGATTCGTATTGTCAATATATCGTCTCGGTACATCATATGTGGATGATGTCGATTGATGATTAGGAAATTCATGTATACGATACTGTTCATTTAATTCATTAGCAGAAATAATTGTTGATTCAAATGGTAAATGATTTTCAGATACGTTCGAACTTCCTGAATAACCTTCATCATCACGTAATGGACTTAATGATGACAATGGTGGTGATGGTTTTTGTACTAAATAAATAGCTGTACTTGTTTGCGATAATGATAATTCATGATCATCATATACTTTTAATTTTGATATAGTTGAAATCCTATCAGATTCTATAAAAATAAGAAAATATTATGATGCAATAATAAAGTGTATAGTTAAATTGTTAATCCATGTAAATAAAGAGTAAATCAACTTTTTTTTTTGTCAAGTCATAGATTTATAACACATAAAAGAAAGTAAGTGCACTTACTGTTAGAATGACTCTTATCATCTGCACTATTGTTTTTGATTGATAATGACGATGTTTGCTAAAACGAAAAAAAAAACAACTGTTAATACATTCCATGCGGGATTAACATGATCTAGCTGGTGTTCCTCAATCGATGTTATAATAAAATATTCCACCTCTATTTTTCTCGGGTAGATAAGAAAACTGTTTGTTTTTACATATGACAGTCTGCATGACACTTGATATTCAAGTGAAAGTTATTGATCATGAACTATATTCTCTTCTGAACGATCAGTCTCAATCTGTGAGAACAATGAAAATATGTTTTAATTGTTTTTTTTTGTTTGTGAAGATCAAGAAGAGTTTGAAGAAAAACATTAAGCTGGGAGATTGGTGACTGAAATAACATTTGAGTATATTGAACAAGTTCATTGGTTTATTAAAGATGATTGTTGTACTTTTTATTATCATATTATCGAAAGAATCATAAAATATATAAGATGATTAGACTGTCAATACATTTAGGGAGAAGTTTTCCTTGATTTTTCGATGCGATATTATAGTGCCATTGCTACTATTTTTGATATGTCCCATGTCTACAACATTAGTCTATCCTTGTTTCTAAAAATGTCAAGATCAAGAAATATTTTCTTGTATAATTAGTTAATTATTTTCTAGAAGCAATCGAGTCTGTCGAACATTTGTTTTCTGTTCATAGATAATATTAATATTTTATTCAGTATATAAAGATTTACTTATTATGAAAACACTCTCATTATTTGTCCAAACATAAAACAATACACTTTATATAAATTGTTATGCCCTTTCGTTGATGATATAGTTTAATACTTGAATCTTAAACTCGATCTTTTCTATTTGAATTCGAAATTTCTCAATGATATTTGTTTTAAAACTTTATTATATTGAATTGCTAATTATAAACAAAGTTTGCATCTGTTTAGATCATTAAAAAGAACTTTCCCTATGTACTCATCTTTATTCTCAGAACTAGAATAAAAAGTAACATTTATATCAGTATTTCATTATTAAATATAACAATTCTAATAAACGTCGAAAATGAAAATTATTTTACATAAAATTCTTACTTGTTTAGAACAACATAATTGATTGAATTTATATCGTTTTTGTTTGATAATAATAATAAGACCGATAATTATCCCAAGAACGAATAAAATACAAATGATAATTGGTATTATCATAATCCATTGTGAATGTTTAAATGTTAATAGACGTTCTTGTTCTTGTTTAAGTTCAAGTAAAAATGTATCTTGATGATTTATTTGTTGTTCAAGTTCAATATTAAATAAATATTGACCTAAAGGTGGTTTTTTAAAAGATATAATTGTACAATTAGATAAAAGTTGAAAATAATTTTTCATAATTATTTGAGGTCGACATAATGTTGAATTAAATATATTTATAAATAAAAAATTTTTTTGATTTATAATCATATATTTATTTATTAAAAATGGAATATTACCATATTGATCAAGTATACGTATAAAAATATTTATTTTAAATTCATTATTAACAAATAAATTAATTATATAAATACTTTGTTTAGTTCGATTAAATTTTTTTAATGTAAATAAATCACCTGTATATGAATCGATATAAAAATTTTTTATATCATCAATTGTATAACTAATATTTCGACAAAATTTATTTGTTATTTTATGCATTAAAAATGTTTTTATTGGTAAATTTTCTTTTATATCAATAATATAAATTTTTTGATTAAATGATAAATTACATAAATATTCATTTGATTTCATATAAAATTTATATGTTTGATTAGTACATAATAATGGTTGATCATTATCACAAGAAATTAATAATAAATAATAATTATCTTGATAAATTAAATTTGAATTATTTTTTGTTGATAAAATATAAATTAAATTATTTTTTATTTCTCTTATTAATTGTATTTGAAAATGTTCTGTATCATTTAAATATAAATTTAAATTTTTTGTTGATTCATCAAAATCTTTTATAGTTATTGTAGCAAATGGTGTTGAATATGTATTTAAATCATATTTAATTATATTTGATTTATATAGAATAGAAGGATAAATTATTAAATTTATATCTGGTGAATTATCATTAATATTTAATATATGAATTATTAATTCAGTAAAACAAGGTGCTATTATTAATGATAATGAACGTGCTTCAATTGTTAATTTATATATTGATATTGTTTCATAATCAATTGAATTTAATAAAATTAATTCACCTGTAAAAGAATTTAAATAAAATGTTTTATTTATATCACCATAAAGTTCATATTGAATAGATATTGATGGAGATGAAATAGCTTTTATTAAAGCAATTTGTGTATAAATTTTTGTTGATTCATTTATAAATATTTCATAAGAATTACGATCAAAATAAAGATATGTTGCATTTGTAAAATAAATTATCAATATGAAACGTATGATAATCATCTATAAGAAAAATAAATCTAATACTTAGATTATCATTTTCTCATTGAAGATATTTAATAATAATAATAATAATAAACGACAACTGTTTAATGTCGATCAGTAGAAATCTTACCTTGATCTGCATATTAACCTTATGTTGTTAATTGACACACACACACTATATGTATTATCGATTAGAAGGAAAAGAAAATAGAAATTATCTATTCTAAGAATGATAAATAAAAACAGAATATATATGATCTGATAAGTAGAGTGACACTTGTATAGAAAAGAATATTAACATGCAACATAGACAATAAATACTGTTCAAAGAAACACAACTTACTACCTATCATATGTTCATCAATGAAATTAATGAACGTATTCAACTGATTTCATATCAATGATGTTATTATTTTTTTTTCTTATGTACTCTATTAAACTCATATACTAGTCGATGACATTTAAATTTATTTTTTCTTTCATAATTGATGATAAGGTTATACAATCCAATTTATGATACACTTAAGTCATAACGGACATTAGTCTATTTCTATTCGATTTAAAATTGAAAAACAATTGATGTGTCAACTAAGTTAAATGATCATATCATGTTATATATTTCAATCTCATTTCTAAAGAGAGCAAGAACAACCGACATATACTTATCTTAAAAGGTACCGCTAAACAAAAAAACAAGAGGTTACTTGTGTCTATACCTACCACCTACTGTCAATTAGGTACAATGTTTAAAAGTATAAAATGTGCGTGTGACCATGGCACTATTATAGACGTGATTCTACTCGTGCAATTTGTCTTGAACAACAATACGAATAGGATTATGAGTCACTTTGTGTCTATACATTAACGAGACAGAGTAGCAGCTTGCATCTTTTTTTTTTCTTTCTATTGTGAGGACTCCTATTAGAATAATTGTCATAGAAAAGAAAGAGACAAATGAATTTGTTGAATTGTACATTAAAGGCTCAAACAAGAAAAGACACTCGTAATCTCTTACTGATGTATAATAATGAATGAGCCTTGTATATATTTCACAGGTGCACATATATATTCTTCTTCATCTAATCGGCATCATTTATACATATAGTTAAATATAATATCGTGACAATTTCAATCGACTCTACCAACAATTGTTTAATAAAACAAATGAAAGATGTTGCCTTAAAACATGTTTTGTTTTATTCAATTATGATATTGAATTGAAAAAATATATACAAACTATGTGAATATATTTTATGCATATGATCAGTGCAAGCAATTAGATTTTACTTTGACTACAATGTAGAAAAAAAAAACATACAAACATTTGTAAATTTTTATTGTTACACCCTGTATAATAAATATAATGAGTTTAACAGTAGTAAAAAATACAAAAATGTGTAAATGTATTTTACGGTTAACCATCGTGAGTATGAAAATAGATAAGGAACCAATGTCCTTGAAATTTGTTAAAAAATCGACGATATATCGAAACGATAATCATGACCTGAAATGCGATGAGCTGTCGATTGTTTCCGATGAATCATGATTTTATGATCGATTAGTATCTTTCATTATATCGACAATAGAAATAGTTGTAACCTCGATTTCTACTAATATAAAACATATAATAAAAATAAAAAAGTATTCATGTACCTTGCAGTTCCTGATAGCTGAATGAGAATATAATCGAAAAAAGTGATATTCATATGTACACATTGATATTTTAAATTGAGTTTTTTTCTAACGAGGGAACTACCTGAGGTGCTAAAAACCTTTTGGATCGGGAATGTGATGGTTAGATAGGACACAGCTAGGAGTGATATACCCTAAGGTAATTCGTCCTCAAGTTGCTTCTGGTAGGAGTTATGAATTTGTCAAGTTATAAGCAAAATGTGCGTTTTTGCCCCTAAATCTTTATTCAAAGAGATTAATATGAGAACAGAAAATGAAATGTATGCAGGATGATTACTATAGCAACTATTACTTTTTTTATACGATGATGAATCATCAACGTTAGTCATGGCATTTTTTATGCCAGAGAACGAAAAATACAGCGTCTATGTTGCACGACGTGAAAGTAAAACAAAATAAGGGAATATTGAATCAGACGACTGAGCGGTCGAGCCGCGTTCTCGGGTTTAAACCATTCACGACTTACCATTTGAGCCTGAAGCATTTGGACGCGGAACTTCGGTCTCGCAAACCCAGGAATAAATCGACACTCGATCATTCTTTTTTTGTTCTAAATATATCGATTCAAATTGAATTCTACTACACCAAACTATATCAAGGAGATGTAATCGAAACTTTTCTTTTCTTATAGTAATTTTTTATAAAATCAGTATGATCATATCGAAAATGCCAATAGTGGTTTGTAAAAATGAAGATTTTCTATTGAAAGTGAAAAAACAAAGTTTGTTTTGACAGGAATATCATAAACTTCTATTAATTTGACAAGGGAAAGATTGTGGGTAATTGGAGTGAAAAATAATGAAGTAGACAGATTTGAATGTAACAAACAGGAAGGCCCATGCTCACATTCTAACCTGGGCTGATATCAAAGAAAGTACACTATCAGAAGAATAACGAACGATGAATGACTCCAACCTTTTTAAATCGATTCGATGACTTGAATCATTTTCGAACGAATAATATATTCTTCCGAACTCTTCATCGCTTCCCCTTCTCTCTTTAGATTGAAAGATATAACGAGGCTCTGATTGATCGTATAGAAAATGATTAAAAATACATACAAGCATGGAACTATCGACTGTATCGCAATCTACTCTACCACATCATTATGAAATGATAGTAACTCAGTTGGCGGGTCACTGCAATGATTCAACTTGTCTCTTATTGTATAATTTTATTTTCACTCTGTTCTATAGTAACAGAATAATACGAAGTCTTGACTGAGACGTTGAAACATGAAATGGATTGAAACAATTGACACTTATCTGACGAAGATATGATTGTGAAAATGAATAGTTTATTCGAAGTATTAAAGAATCAAGAAATTGATGTAGTTTTCCCTCCGTCAAAGTTAATAATTGGTTTCACTGCTTCGTCTGTGAGGACGAACGTCATCTATTAAAAGTCAAATTACTCTCATCATAAATCTCTTTACTGTTACCTTTGACATCGTTAAAAAAAAGTTGCAGCCAAATCCATTGCCTCTTTATTCAACAAAAGATGTAACGTCTGTTTTAATTCTGAAAAAAAATTTGAAGTTAGCATTTGATTTTTTTTTCCCCATTATATCTTAGATGATGTCGATGGTAAAACAATAGAATTGGATAAAATGAGCAAAATTTTATCATTATTAGTTAACAGAATCACAGCTTGAGATGACAACACAGTCATACGTGATCTCTATTAGGAATTACATTGTTACATACACATGCATTACAACTATAATAAGATAGCTTAATTATTCGATTTGATGGGCAAAAATTTGAAACAGAATTGAATTGATTTTACAGCAGCAATAAAAAGATTATTTTTTAATGTAACATCAACGCTTCGATAAATTCATTATTGTTGATGATATATAACCTACAATAAAATACAAAAGATTAATTAGTATGATAGTATAACATATGAAAAAATAATTACTAGACTAATGAGATAAACGAGAATTATTAGATATGGCGAACTTTAGACATGCTAGGGAATTGTATTAGTCAGGTTAGATATAAGAATAGTAAGTGAAAGGAACTCTTGGAAATACAGGACAAAGTAAGCTATCACGATTAGAATACGTTAGTAAATGATAAAGAGATGTGTAATAATCATCACTGTCGATTTTTGTTTTACTTCAGTTCTTTTTTCATGTTATGGGTGGTAGTGTGAGCATGGGCACGAAATCTAGGAGTGACTACATCCGCATTCCACACCCACACTTGAAAACTGCATGATTACAAGGAAGTTTCGTAACTGGAAAGAACCGCGTGGTTATCGGAACGTAGGATGGTCGATGGTAACTGATGATATGCGGATGTTGAACTTTCTTAGGAAACTCCCAAACTTTCTTGAGGTGTGACGTAAGGCGGTAATTTCGCTTGTGTGTCATTTCTGCGTCAGTATACGTGTCTCCAACTTTAGTAATCATGCAATAACTACATATATGGTGAGAATAGGGGAGGGGAGGAAGAACGGAATTATTCATATGGTGGAAAAATCCAAAGATTGTGAATATGAAAAGGAAAATGCATACAATAGCAGAAAGGAAAAAAGAGTTTTCCGTAAACTAATTTTCTTGATAGTAGGAAGAAAAAAAAAATTTATCGTATACTAATTTTCTTTATAGCAGGAAGAGAATATTCATGCAATATGACTAATAGCATAAAAAAGAGCCATACCATACGTATGGATCGCAGCGTCCTGATTTTTCTAAGCGAAAAAATTTTCCAAATAGGACGTCCTTCACAGGAATAATCAGGACGCTGCGATCCGTGCATACGTGTATATGAACCATCATATAAATACGGAAAGAAAACTCTTTTGATTGTATATGAACAAGAATCTGATCAGGGTGTGAGTGTGTGAGTGTGTCGATGTAGTAATAAAGAGTCACACCAACACTTACACTCGCCCCCACACCCACACTCACACACATTTTAAACTATCTTCATAGATATTCAGGCTCTCTTTAGATTTTTTTACATAGAAATTTGTACCTTTGGCAAATGTATCAATTTTGGAAAACTATTCATATAGTGCAGGTTTAAAAATACCAAGCTTTTATCCAGCGAATTTATCAAGAAGAAACATGACCGAGAATAAAGTAAGAATAAATTGTTGATTGTGGAGAATAGAAATGCATAGGTACATCTTTTTAAGCTATTCAAGAGTAAATGCGTCTTAATCTTCAATTATATCCGTTCATCATTCAAAAAGTTGGCCTATGTAAATAATGAGCCGACATATTCAGCGAAACTTCCAGATGATCAACAACAGACAAAAGATTTGGTGTCAACACTGGTTAATGATCGAACGAGATATGACGACAAGCATGA